CCTCCCACTGCTAAAGATCTCTACGTGCAAGTGAATTAATGAAATGAAATTGAACCATATGCCAAAATGACCTTGTTTATATTGAAAGCTGTGCAGACATTGTCAAAACATGGATGACTACTCGTCTGCTAAACTTCAATGCCTCAAAAACTGAAGCCATGCTAGTTGGAACTAATAGTAAAATGGTGAATGTTCATCATTCATCCATCCATATTAGAGAATCACAGATCGATTTCCCCCAAAAAGTGAAAAATTGTGGCATCCACCTGGATTCAAATTTATCAATGGAACAACATTTCACTAACATTAATCGCACTTGTCACTTTCACCTCCGTAACATAGGATCCATAAGAAATCTGATTTCAACAGATGCTCCTCACCACATTATGCAATCCCTAATGATTAGATTATTTTAACAGTCTATTGGTGAAATTGCCCAAAGAACAAATCAACAGACTGCAATGGACTATGAACACGCCAGCGAGTACAGTGAAGAAAACAAGAAAGTGTGCACATATAAATCCAGTAATTAAGAGGGGAGGCCTGTGTGAAATGTAAAATCCTCTCAATCACATATCAGAGTTTTCACCAAACCGCACCCAGTTATCCTTGCAATTCAAGAGTTTATTAAAAATACACCTGTTTAAAGAATGCTATGAGACATAAAACTGTTATAGCACATAAACCATCATGTGATCAGAATTTTTGTAGCGCTATGAGCATATACTTAGTGTATGGAGTTTATAGCGTGTTAAAAGTGCACTATTATTAGGCTTTCACCTTCGGTGAAAGGCTATTGTTATTACTAAGATTAATATTATTATTCTTTTTTTATCGGGGGAAGCTAGATCTCAGCAACTATAAGAGATAGAGGTTTGAAATTTGATTTTCTGTCGGAAAAGTGGCTTGCAGCTACTGCTTAAAGCTATTTCGAAATTTGTACGCATAGCGGAAATGCGTCAAATCTTTAACGTGCACGGAAATTGAAAATCGGCCATTATTCGCTTAATTTACAATCGATTCTTCAGATATGTACATTTTTGGATAGCTGGAGACATTTCCAAGCAGATAGCAGTTCAAAACTGTGGAATTTAGAAACTTTGCCGCTATCATTTTTTGGGTGAAAAATGGAAAATTTCCAACAATATAAGTTTTGTTCTGAAATGTTGACTTTGATTTTTCACTTTTTTTTCGCATTTTGGTCAAATCGTAGAGTTTTTATTTTTTTAAAACGGCTCCAACGATTTTTCTGAAACTTCAGGAATATGAAGTCGAAGGACCAAACCAGTCCATGAACTATAAATGAAAATCCTCTAATCATCGGAAGTAGTCAAGAAAGGTATCAAAACTTTGACAAAATTGTGAAAAATGGGTGCCTGTGCGGAAAATTTGATGTATCAATTGTATTCTTATCGATTAGTTAAAGTTTTATATCGTTTAATAGCCAATTGAATTGTCTATCGAATGGTACTAAAGCGGCATGTTTCTATCAAAAATTTAAAAAGTTATGTGACTTTCAAAAGTAACGTGTTTTACGATTTCGAGCAACTTTAGACGCATGTTTCTCGGAAACGCCCCCAACGATTTTTTAAAATCTCTCTCAATCGAGAGACCAATGGGTACTCTGTTTTGTGAAACCACTGTATCATTTTTTGAAATGTCAGGGGTAGCCGAAAATAGAGATCGAGAATCGAAAACGTCTTATTTTTACGGTTTGGAGCATTTTTAGAGGCCTATTTCTCGAAAAGTCAACATAATTCTTTTTTGGAACTTCTTCTACAGAGAGGCCTATCAGCAGTGTTATACATAAAACGATTGTACGACAGTCCCAAATTTGAGAAGTAGCAGAACAAAGGGGTCGAAAATTGAACACGGCACCTTTCATTGTTAAGCGAAACATAAGAGGGGATACAATCTGTACGTTTTGTCAACGTATAGAGCCAATTCAAGAGTGCTTTTATCAGTTATGATATTTGAACTCAAATTATTTCAACTATGAGTGTTTTCTTCTATCCAAAATATGGGTATAGTGACCCTGTAACAGAAATAGTTGATAGCTGTGTGTAATAATTAGTCTTTGAATTAATATTGTTGCTTCTTTGTCAAAATTATCTTATACCGGTAATCATCTATCTGGATAGAAATCGACGGCTCGCGCTGTTTATAAGAAAGTCCAATTTGTTAAGCAGTTGCAGTAGTATCGTACAGTAGTATCGAATATTGTACCTGTGATAAAAGGCGTGATGCTGTTTGAGCATGGACTCTATTTGTAATTAATATTAAAATTTTATTAGTGACGTCAAATCTTTAACGTGCACGAAACCAGAAAATTGGCGATATTTCATTGAATATTCAATCAATTTTTGAACCAGTTACATATTTGAGTAGCTGACATGAACACGATTCCGAAGTCCCGTGTACACATTGGTGTGACCGTAAAAGATCCCATGGTGGTTGGAATTCTATATAAAAGAAGACTAGCTCCGCTGTACGAGCATGTTTAGAGGTCATTTCGGGACTAACATACGGTTCATTATTTTTTATTTCAATAATTCGCTTGTGCGTAGGGGTCATTAGCAGTTGGAGGAAACCGGAGGACCCGGAGAAAAACCACGAGGTTGGACAGGCGACCCTACTCCTTGTCACGTACAACCGGGGAATCGAAACCCCGCCAGTTGACTCAATGACAGACCGTATGATACAGCGCAGTCCTAAAGGCTAGCCTACCGTGCAAATTCCAGCCAGCATAATGAATCTATATAAGAAACATTTATTCCTACTGGCGAATTACAAACAGTCCCCAAGGCTAGCTTACCGTGTAATTTCCAGCCAGCATAATGTATCTATATAAGAGACATTTATTCCTACTGGCGATTTACAAATATTGCATGAAGAAATTCAATTCATAAGAACAGAAACACGACTAATGCACAGTATCATATTGATTATAAAAGTACAATGTATATATTGGTTACACTATATATGTCACAAAACAACAATCATTAGATAATAATAATTATTTACTAATTATATAAATCATTTTAAGAGGTAGGAGTTATCCGTTGTTTAATTTAACAGTTACATAATTACTTTTCTCGGAAAAGCCGCCAATGATTTCTTTCAAACTTGCTCAATCGAGATTCTACTGGGTAGTGTATTGTGTGAACCTTTGTACAATTTTTCTAATTGTCATGGGTAGCCCAAAAAAGAGATCGAAAATTGAAAACAGCGTATTTTTACGAGTTGGAGCATGTTTAGGGGTCAATATCTGAGTTATGCTAGAGTGTGGGTTTTTTTTGGGGGGGGGGGGATAGTCTTTTGTCATATATCTGGCGATCGTGTGACGCCTTTGCGACCGTGAAAGCCTTCAGCATTGCGCGCAATTCTAGTTATTATTATTATTATTATTCTCTCTCAAGAGGTCACAATTTTCATCTGATTTTGATAAAACTTGGAATACCTTTTATAACCCAAAGATCTTGGTTCCTTTCGATATTCGTGCATATCGCATCGTAACTTCCTGAATTATGGCCCCTGATTGCACAAAAAATCTTGTTTTTAGCTTGTGGTCCCTCTAAAGGTCACAATTATTATCCGATTTAGAAAAATCCTTTGAACATTTCACCGTTACACCCTACTGATGGTTGAGTTTGAATTTCGTGAAATTGAACCAAAACTGCTGGACAAAATGGCCGCCCCTCATACGCAAATAGTGTAAAAATATGGTATATCAAGGTTGTGGACCCTCTAAAGGTCACACTTTAGTTCTGATTTTGATGAAACTTGAAATACATGATTATAACCCAAAGATCTTGGTTCCTTTTGAAATATCAGATATTAACTTCCTGAATTATGGCCCTTGATTGTACGAAAAATCATGTTGTTAGATTGTGGTCCCTCTATAGAGGTCACAATTTTTATCCGATTTCAAAAAACGTTTGAATATATCACTGTTACACCTGTTTCGTGAAAATAGAACCAAAACTGACGGACAAAATGGCCTTTGTGTACACAAATAGTGTATAACTCCCAAAGATCTCAGTCCCTTTCGATATTGGCACATTTCAGACCATAACTTCTTGAATTATGGCCCCTGATTGCACGAAAAATCAGGGTTTTTTTTAGCTTGTTCTCTATCCATCTCTTGCAAAAAGTGGGTGTATCTTGCCTGGCAACCGCTGGTATTTATTACTAATAACATAAAGCCTTCCAAACAAGTGCATGGGATTTTAATGACTAGTCATCTTGTTGTAAATGGAAAGTGAGTGATGAACAAAGAAGCTTGAAATAGACTTTCATCGTTTGGAGTAGTTTTCTTAATATGAAAAACTTCTGATAGATAAATTAGATTGAGTATGTCACAACCTCTGATTGGATGCTACTGTTCACGTGTCTGCAGATAACGTAGTTATAAGTTCGGAAATTGTAAAGTAATCTAGTAATTTAATAGGTTTGAACGAAATGTACAATTGTGTAACATCCGGAATCCATCCGGAATCGGCATGTAGATGAAATAATAATTCATGATGTCTTACTATGAGACCAAGTGGTTTAGTGTAGAAGCCAAACAAGATCGGTCAGAGGACAGACCCTTTGGGGTACATCGGAAGCCACAACAGAAGTAAAGGTCAAGGAAAAGGACATGATTTCCACAAAAAATCTTAATTTCGCCAATTTACGAATCTTTGCATTAAACCCTGGAATCACTTTATAAATATTATTATTGTCTTGTTCACATTCTAATTAACCAAGAAACAACATTTATTTTCATGTGTAACTTTTTGCCATAAACAGAAAAAATAGAAAAAATGCCAAAAAGTCGCATTTTGTTTGAACTTGGATCGTCTAAAAAGATTTTTTTTTTTTTTTTTTTTTTTTTTTTTTTTTTTGATCAATTCCAACATAAATTGAGGGTAGTCCGTTGACTTTTCAAAATTTTGCAAAATAAGGACCACCCTAGTATTGGTATATCTAATTCTTTTATTTTGTTTTTTTTTAAGGGTCTGATTCTGCATGCAGCAATTGTTCCTGCAGTTTGATAGGTGGTCTGGCGTTTATCTGTGATTTTGTTTTTGGTTTGGCTGCATCCACATTGATAACATTTGTTATTGAAACAGGTATGATTATATTTAATATTTTATTTTCTAGTAAAGCCTCACACTATAAACCTCAGAATGCCTCGTTTGGCATTTCTTTCCAAACGTGGCAAAAACGTGTCAAAATTTTTGCCCCGATTTTGCCTCGTTGTAACGACGTAAAAAAAATACCTTGTTTCTCTGGAGTTCCAAAACGTGTTTTTTTTAAATTGCCCTGTTTTTGGAACGAGGTATTTTGTTCAGAACGAGGCTGGGTAAAATTGCCTCGTTTACTAAACAAGGTATTTTATCCAAGATAATTATAAGCCGGTATTTGCTGTCAACAAATAGAGCCATACAAATAATGTTCGGACCATCATGTGACCAATTGCAGATCTACAAATTAGATTATTTATTTGGGACATGATATTGTTCATGGTTATGGCTTACTACACTGGAGTTCTATTGTGTATAATAAACGCTTCCCAAGCGAAACAAAACATAACAATGTCACGTGACAATATTACACATGGCGGATACAAGCGTTCTTTGATTACAAGCTGTTTGGTTTGATTATTAAATAATACGGCAATCTGTATTTATGGGAAAAGGAGAATGAATTTCCCCAAATCCAAAACTAGATGACTGGAATATTTATTGAATGGAAAGTGAATATTTTATAAACAAAAATATTCGAATTTGCAGTTTTCTAGCTTGGATGGATTTGTGATTTGAATCTCGAACTCAGTGTTTTATACATTTTATTATAAAATTGTAATAAATGTTTTACATGAATGAATAAAATCTACAATTTAAAAAAATACAATAACATTGTGATTTGACGCTCTACAAATCACTAAAAGTATAACAATTGCTTGTTGAAAAAGCGTTACTAATATGTTTTTTTTCCAATGTAGCAAAACCTACTGGACTGTTGTACTTAACTTATTATTTTTTAAAAATATATTCAAAAAGAATGCGTCTTTTACAGATTTCAATATAACAACAAATGGTTGGTTGTTTTAATGCTAAGATAAGTATTAATGGTTTGTATTTGAAAATCAAATTATATAAGCGAAAAATAGTAAGATACATTATGTATATCTTAAAACACGCCCTTCTCAGTTACTACTTCGGCGAATATCGTTTGATAATTTAGATGATCAGAATTAAACACCGTTTTGCTATGTTATTATTTTTTTATGATTGGGTGGGGGTATACTTAATTAGGGGATTGGATTGAAAGATTATAGCTACCATCTTATGGAGACATAATGTGTGGTGCATTTACGGTCTTATAAAGCTCTATTCTTACATAAAGAATTCTTGATTCGCACGGAATTGTTTTAGCCGTGATCATTTTAAATCATGCTGTGTGGTGCATTTACGGTCTTATAAAGCTCTATTCTTACATAAAGAATTCTTGATTCGCACGGAATTGTTTTAGCTGTGATCATTTTAAGTCATGCTTATGCCAAGATCTGGGTAAGTGTTAATTTAACTAGATATCAGAAAAGTACCACGTTTTCATAAACGTACTGTTTAGATAAATTGTACAATATTTATCAGTTGACTAGTTACAATAAAATCAAGCATTATAGCTATTTTTATTTATTTATCCCTGGTGCTTCAAATTCAATTTAGGGTGCCTCAACATATTTAAAAATATCTTTTAAAGCTTTAGGTTATTTTATTATATCTTTCAACCATAAATAATAGCCCGAATTTAGGTATACCAAAAGTTAAAGAAATATAAACAGTTTTTGAGTCATTCAGATATGACTGCCAAAATTGTCACCAGCACACTTGTCGTGTTTAGGCTAAAATCTAACCAAAAAAGTATTGTCAATACATAATAAAATTTATATTCCATACACACTTCGCCAGGGGCTTCTTTGACCTACACTCACTTAACCGTAAACCAAACTTTAAATCTTTCAACGGTTTAACAAGAAGGTGCTTAAATATTTCCATTTAAACTTTTAACCTCTGTAAATAAATACAAAAAGCAATTCGAAAAATAAACCACAAATTGCATTGTTGTGTAGGCCTCTAAGACATGTTATGACTGAGCAAATCAGTTAAAAAGAAAAATATTTAGAATATTTTCAATTAAACTTTTAACCATTGTAAATTAATACAAAAAGCAATTCGAAAAATATACCATAAGTAAAGAAACCATCGCAGTGAATAAAGCTATTAATATGCCGTTAACCCGTGACGCAAACCGAATGGTGTTTAATAGTAAATTGGACTTTTTGTTTCTTTTATTTAAAGTTAAAAATCAATGCTTATCTCATCACTTAACCCGGAAGGCTTAATAAATTTTAAAATAAAATCTTTAGCACTCTCATTCTTTTTGTAGATGTGTACGCAGTATATATAGTGGAGTTTTACTTGACCGCTGGAGACCAAATAAAATTACAGTGCCTAATTCATAACTACTTATATTTATTTTCATTATATTCTTAATTAGAAGTTTAAAAACTGTTTAATAATGACATCTAGTAAATATTGAATATCTTCGTGCATTGATTTACAAACCGGGCAATATTCGTCACTTACTTTACCTATCTTTTCCTTGATTTTTCGCCCGGAATGATATGGTACACGTTCATTGTGTCTTAAATATTGGATATTAGGATCCCACATTTTCACGACTACATGTATATAACAACATCATGTTGGATTGAAATGGACCAATATTGAATTCTAATTTGTTTTTTTTAATTTCGATTATTATGGAAAATATCGAGTGAGAGACTTAGCTCCTTTAACATCCTAATACACACTTCGCCAGGGGCATATTTGACCTACACTCAATTAACCTTAATCCAAACTTTAAATCTTTCAACGGTTTAACAAGAAGGTGCTAAATAAATGATTACAACCACAAATTGCATTGTTGTGTAGGCCTCTAAGACATGTTATGACTGAGCAAATCAGTTACATGTATAAAGAAAAATATTTAGAATATTTCCAATTAAAACTTTTAACCGTTGTAAATTAATACAAAAATCAATTCGAAAAAATACCATAAGTAAAGGAACCATCGCAGTGAATAAAGCTATTAATATGCCGTTAACCCGTGACGCGAACCGAATGGTGTTTTATAGTAAATTAGACTTTTTGTTTCTTTTATTTAAAGTTAAAAATCGATGCTTATCTCATCATTTAACCCGGGAGGATAAATAAATTTTAAAATAAAATCTTTAGCACTCTCATTCTTTTCGTAGATGTGTACGCAGGACATATTATCTATTATGTATAGCTAATCGTATTGTACACATAATGATATTACATAACTCTATTGGTGGAGTTTTACTTGACCGCTGGAGACCAAATAAAATTACAGTGCCTAATTCATTACTACTTATATTTATTTTCATTATATTCTTAATTAGAAGTTTAAAAACTGTTTAGTAATGACATCTAGTAAACATTGAATATCTTCGTGCATTGATTTACAAACCAGGCAATATTCGTCACTTACTTTACCTATCTTAAATAGCTTTTCCGTTGACTATAATATATTATGTAAAATTTTACAATCTAAGTCAATACATTTAGGGTTTTTAAAAATACAAAAAATGGTTTTCCATATGATAGGAAAATTACACAAGAAACCATTCTTTTCCCAATAATTTAAACAAATAAGTTTTACAAATTTAGAGCCGAGATATTTTTCATAACAACACTTAGATTTTAATTGATTCGGTGTCACAAATTCATTCATCATCTAACACGTGGCTCGTGTTGGTGGAAGACATTGTTGTTATATTCAAGTTGGTTTGATTTTCTCTCACCCATGATTGGGGAATGCTTAACTTAATTAATTCGTATTATCTAATAATTGTGCTATATCTGCGTTTAGGCCAGTAGGCTTGAATTAAATTGATAATATGTTTTGAAGATGTTAACCTAGGCTTAGTATTATCTACAAACAATATCAGCCATTAGTTTAATGCCCGAAATAGTGAATGTATCAATGTTTAAAGGTTTGTTATACTTGCTATATGTATTATTGAATCTGGAACCGGTCTTGTGGCTTTGTTTAAATCATCCTAAGATTCTAATAAGTTTAAATAAAACTAAGTATATTTTTCAGGTCGTCAAATCATTTAGATGCATACCTCACAACACCCTGGTTTAGACAACTTGAAATTGAAATAGTTTTATTGTTGTAAACATAATGAAAGAAATTGTGTTATTTCACAGCTGAATTGTATGGTAAGAACCGTAGAACCACCTTGTAGGGAATAACTTTTAATCTTTAACACCCTAATACACACTCTGCCAGTCGCATCTTTGACCTACACTCACTTAACCTTAATCCAAACTTTAAATCTTTCAACGGTTTAACAAGAAGGTGCTTAAATATTTCCATTTAAACTTTTACAAAAAGCAATTCGAAAAATAAACCACAAGTAAAGGAACCATCTCGATCAGTGAATAAAGCTATTAATATGCCGTTAACCCGTGACGCGAACCGAATGGTGTTTTATAGTAAATTAAAGGAATAAAACATATAACGTTGCAATCTCGACCCTGATGCCCATGAACACAAATGACGAGTTTAAGACAAACCAATGGCGGAATGGAATTGATTAATGGAATATAAAATTTAATAATGTATTGACACTAAGTTTTCTGGTTAGACTTTAGCCTAAAAAACATGCGTGCTATTAAAAATTTTGTCAGTCATATCTGAATGACTCAAAAACTGGTTATATTTCTTCTTTAACTTTTGGTATACTTAAATCGGGCTATTATTTATGGTAGAAAGATATAATAAAATGACCTAAAGCTTTAAAACATATTTTTAAATATGTTGATGCACCCTAAATTGAATTTGAAGCACCAGGGATAAATAAATAAAAATAGCTATAATGCATGATTTTATTGTAACTAGTGAACTGATAAATATTGTACAATTTATCTAAACAGTACGTTAGTCGTCAGAAAATTTATGAAAACATGGTACTTTTCTGATATCTAGTTAAATTAGCACTTACCCAGATCTTGGCATAAGCATGATTTAA